TACTAGACAACACTGTTCCTCTGACAGGGAACACTGCTAAAGAATCCAAAGGTACATCTCTACACTCCTGCCCACATAAGCAGAGGATCAGGAATCACACTTTGGTATATCATAGGGCAGTGCCCAGTAGAGCAGCCCCAAACTGTCATTTTTGGTCAGTCAAATGTCAAAATGTTGTTTGAAGAGATGCTCTAATACTACAGTGTTTCATGCATAATAAATGCTAAAAAAAATGTATTTTCTAAGACAAATGCACTAAGATCCTGGGTTGGATCCAACCTGAGTTAAAACTGCACTTGTCAGGGTCATAAATGATCTTGCACAGGTTTTAGTTTGGGTTCAGTTGACCGTTTTTATCATGCTGGACTCAAGTTACTTTTGATATAATTGACTTTTGACTGCTATTTCAGTGATTAACTGACTTTACTGGTGTAACTGGAAAGAAGACATATCAATCAGTTCAGATGGACAATTTTGTGTCACTCATGTGGGATTTGAAACGTGGTAATATTCAAGGACTGAAAGCCTATGGTACAATAATTATTTTCAAGTTACGTGACCTGCTCTATCCATATGTTTGTCCTGTGATCACCTCACAACAGCACCATATACAATTATGACCGCAAAGCTTTATTTTGTAGTTGTTTAAAAGAGCTCTTGGTAGAGCTGTTTTATCGCTTGCAGTTCAGAATGCAGCAGTACTGCTCACTGATGAGTTACCGATGAAATAGCAAAATTACTTTAAATTGGTACAGTTCATTTTTAAAGCCATTATCAGAATTAGGTCTAGCTATGTTAGCATTTGCTCTACGAGACTTTGATGGGTATTTCTGAACTGATTGCATGAATTCAGTTTCTCCCACTGGCTATGAAGGGTATAACACTGTGGAACTTGTTCTGTACCCTGAAATGCCCATCATTCCTGCCCATTTTAAAAAAATAAACTTAAATCACATTTGAGAAAAATAGCTATAAGAATGACCATTCTTGACCCTATTTATTTCCTTCAGTTTCAATCCAACTAAACCTCAATTAAGTAACCTATTTTCATTAGGACATATGTTAACAGGGGAAGATATTTACTTATGTCTATTTCCATTATGTGGTACAGCATCTCTCCATCACTTTTCCCAAGGCCTTTTTTTGGTGGGAATAGACATGACACAAAGGTGAGTGCTACATAAATGAAATAATACACAAAGTAGAAATATAAGAAAAATCTTAAAGTTAATAGTTATAAACACACTTTACCATGCTTTATCATGACCCTCATAATAAGTATCCTGCCCCCAGCAGCAGCAGCAAATATTTGATGCTTCAGAAAAAAGGAAAACAAAGCTGTAATAATACATCTGGCCAAATGCATAATTTTGTATGCATGTGAAGGGAAGAATTCCCTTCTGACACCTGGGATGATCAGTTTATACCCTGAAGCATGAAACCTGATAAACTGTAGCTATGCATGCTAAGAGAAGTAATTGATTGTAAGACTACTCCACCTCTTAAAAATACAGCTATGATATTTATCCAACCTCCTGAAGCAGAGATTTCCCCAGGCTGAGTAGCCACTGTGGGCAGTACAATTTTTGTTTTAGATGTATTTAGCTATTCATTTAATGGAGAGTCCACTTCTTCACCTATTAAGTGACAGTTCTACTCTGAAAAATGACATTGTAGAGTTCCACGTTTACGGAGCCTTACTGATTTCAGATTACATGTGTTCAGCTTACAAGTAGACATCTCAAAGTCAGGCAGAAAGTCATGAAATACTGCTTTCACCTGAGGCAGGAGGCAAGGGTCATGGGGAATGTACTGAAAAGGTCAGAGTTCTTCCTGGAGAGATGCACCCAAATGGCAATGATGTAGAACTTCACTCTCTGCCATCAGACCCCATTGCTTCCAAAGTTGCACCATCAACTCTCTTTCTGGTCGTCTTCTTCATTTACATGGAATCAACAGGAGAACTGATGAGAGGGAGGGATAGCTCAGTGGTTTGAGCATTGGCTTGCTAAACCCAGGGTTGTGAGTTCAATCCTTGAGGGGGCCACTTGGGGATCTGGGGCAAAATAAGTACTTGGTCCTGCTAGTGAAGGCAGGGGGCTGGACTCGATGACCTGTCAAGGTCCCTTCCAGTTCTAGGAGATGGGATATCTTCATCAAGGGCTCAAATGCCAACAATACACAAGTGACATCTATCCATTCATATAACTCCATTACTATCACATTACTAGCCCAATGCTTGGCTGAAATCTTATAAATGAAAAATAGTTGGTTGAAGTTAAACTCAAGCAAAACTGAGGTCATGTTGGTTGGCACAGGAAAACAATTTTGAGATGTTTGTAGCCATGGGGCATTCTTCTCTGGCTGAAAATGTACATCCACAACTGGTCACATCAGTCTGCAGTTTAGGAGTACTTCTGTACCCCTCACTTATGCTATGCACTAACAGAGCCACATCCACAAGCAACATGTTCTGCCATGTACAGCGAGCTAGGAGACCACATCCCACCCCGGTGAATCAGGATCTTTCCTTGGTAATACACACCTCTGTCACTTCCCAAAGGGAGTACAGTGTTGAAGTTTACTTGGGCATGAAACAGTCAGTTCTCAGTAAACTACAACAAGTGCAGAACGCAGCAGCAGCAGCAAGCCTCCTCAGCAAAACCAGGCTATAATAAACACATCAAACCTGATCTGGGCTCTCTACACCATCTCCTCATAAAATACCACATCTAATTCAAAAGTTCAGGTCTTTTCTTCAAGGTACTCAAAGACATGGGACTCAGGATGTCTAAGAGATTGCCTAAAGTTTGAGGATGAGAACTGTGGTTGAGAATTCCACACCTATGGTACTGTGGAACTTTCTACGGCAAGGATAAAGCTTGCGTGCAAGAGACAGAGCTTTCCCAGAAGCTAGTCCACGATTGTTGAATGAATCTCTACAGGATAAAAAAAAACTACCTCAAATCTCACTACTTACCATCTAAGTTTAAGGTATACTTCTTTGAGCTGGTCTTCACAAAGTTGCAAATTAAACATACAAAAAAAGTCCTCATGCAATTTTCTGCCAGAGAGAGGAACGAAAGAACTAGCCGTGATAGATGCTAGCAATGTCATTTAATGCATTATTGGAAGCCATTTCAATAGCACAGTGATGAGGACAGTGTAAGAACTTTAACAGAATATTTTTACCCCTAACAGCCAGCCTCAAACTCACTGTAGACTTAAACTAAAGCTGGGTTTTGGGGGTTTTTTTTCCCCATCATCACCAGGAATGAAGGCCTGCTTCCAAAAGGTCAAACTATGTTATATCTTTGCAGCGTCTTCAAATGCTATAGGGTTAACACAGGTGCAAAGCAAAATGCAGAACAATGGCAGTCTAATACCTGGAACTTGGTTAATATTTCTGTTATGTTTTAACGTACAGGAGGGAAAGAATCCATTTCACTCTTCCATAGCGTTCCACAACTAAGTAATGAATAATGCAAACTTACTGTTTTCACTAAAGAAAGCAGTACAATTCTGAATATACACTAGATTTGCTGAGTAAGAAGAATCTGCTTTTATACAGTCCTTTTGAAAGTAAAAGCCAAACGTTAAGTATCTGTAAGCAATTGCTTACAAGAAAAATTACAACTTTAGGCCGATTCTGCAACAGGATTTGCATGCATGGACCTCAGACCAGCATAGCCCAAAGCTCTGTGTGGTCACAAGAATCTATTAGTGTGAACCCAATTGCAGAATTTAGACCATATGGTTTAGTTTATTTTTAGAATGCATTTTTGAATACTTTAGCAGGTGCATATGTAATGCTGACAGGATCAAACCTGGGACCTCTGAAGCTTAGTGTATGAGCCTCTACTGCATGAGCTAAAAGCCACTTGGCTTTTAGATAAGGCTGTAGCAGACTCATTAATCTCTAGGCTAGTCGTTCTGAACCCATGGCCAACTTGCAGCCCAATTAGCACACTGCTATGGCCCAGGCATAACACAGAAAGAGCTGCATAGGTGGCCCACCATGGTAAATAGGTTGAGAACCACTACTTTAGGGGATCTAAGTGCCACCAGAGGGGGACAGAGCATCACACCTAACAGGCATGTGTTACACACGGGGAAAGAGCATTTTATTTGGTATACCGACAAGATATGCTGCGATAAGAATGGACTGATATTAGCATCAGTTGATTAAGCAGAAAAGGGGCATTTCTATAGTGCTCACTCCTTACAAGGTTCTTTGTTACAGTCTACTATTCTGGTTGTGTCCTATATCCATGGTCCACCTTTAACACAGCCCAATTTTAAACACATAGACTCATAGACTTTAAGGTCAGAAGGGACCAGTATGATCATCTAGTCTGACCTCCCGCATGATGCAGGCCACAAAAGCTGACCCACCCCCTTTCCCTTGACTCAGCTGTTGAAGTCCCCAAATCCTGTGATTTAAGGACTTCAAGTCGCAGAGAATCCTCCAGCTAGCGACCCCCGCCCCATGCGGCGGAGGAAGGCGAAAAACCTCCAGGGCCTCTGCCAATCTACCCTGGAGGAAAATTCCTTCCCGACCCCAAATATGGCGATCAGTAGACCCCCGAGCATGCAGGCAAGATTCTCCAGCCAGACCCTCATTGATCATTGATACTATTTACCAGCGATGGCACGCTGTTGATTGATTGACTAAAATCACATTAGCCCATCAAACCATTCCCTCCATAAACTTATCAAGCTTAATCTTATCACATCACCTCTCCATTCCAAGAAAAGCCATTTTGACAGTGGACTATATCAATACTCACCCTTTGAAACACAGGCATGCCAGTGGCAGTTAATTCCCAGGCAGGCAGGCACATCCCCATACAGGTACATTATCCTCCACTTTGCCTGAATCCATTCACAGCAACCCAGGACCTACCACCCCACTCGCACTTCAGGTATTCATACAGGGCAAATCATACACCCACCCCTCGCGTTTGTGTTTTACACAGGCCAATGTTGCTCTCACTTACCATGGTGACTTTGGAGGTGTTTCAGGTGATTTGGTTCTTACGTAAGGCTGTCTCACTCAGTTCATGTCATGGTCAGAGGCAGTTTTATCAGGCCTTCCCCATCCATTCAACTAAAAATAACCTGCCTCCTAGTACTCCCTAAAAATAATACTAAAACCCACACTTCCTCTCCTGTCCCACATACAGCCTCAGCAACCCATCAGCTCTAGAGAGCCAGTTACAGAGCCATTAAAAGTTCACTCCTCCTCAAGAGTACAGCGATTATTAAATTAGAACAGGGAGACACCTAAAAGCCTGGTTTTTTTTTTTGGAGAGGAGAACAAGGCAGAGGCCAATGCCCCTATCTTGGGGTGGGGGACCTGTCTATTCTTGGTTGTGCAGGGGGAAGTCCTATGTCTCAAGACCCTCCCTGAGTTTGTTTGTTTTTTCTCTCTCTGTAGAGAGGGGGGCAGTCAGTGATGTAAGGAGACCTGTGCCCTCACCAGAGTTGTGTGGGTGTGTGGGGAGGGAATAGGGTTCCTATAGAACTTTTTGTGGTTGAAGGACCCTGTCAAGGAAGGGGGGGTTGCAATAATGAAGGTGGAAGTGTGTTCCTCCTCCTGGGGGGAAAAGGCCAGTGTCCCTCCCTGGATGAGAGATCTATAACCTGAAGAGAGAGGCCTATTCCCCTCAATGGCAGGGGGAAGGGTGGAGGAGGCCTGTTTCCCCCAGTGGAGGACGGGGGCTGTATCGGGAGAGGGGGAGCCTGTGTCCCTTCCTGGCGGAGGGCTGTATCCGGGAACGGGGAGGTAAAGGCCCGTGTCCCTACTTGGCGGGGGGAGGGGCTGTTCCCCTCAGTGGCGGTTGGGGGCAGTCTGGAGGAAAAGCCTATATCCCTCCCTGGTTGAGGGGTCTGTAACCTGGCGGGAGAGGCCTGGCCCCCCGAGTTGCGGCTGGGGCTGTATCGGGGTTGGGGAGGTCTGTGTCCCTCCCTGGCGGGGATGAGGGGCTGTATCCCGGTGCTGGTGGCCCTCACTCCTCTGCCTGACCGATGCTCTCTGCTGTCCCTGCACGAAGCCCCCTCGCTGCCCCCGGCCCCGCAGTCACCGCCGCACCAAGCGCATCCTTCCTCGCCGCTTCCTCTCCGTCTATGGGGGCAGGGCAGCCTCCGCCCCTCCCCGCCGGAAGCGACCTATGGACTCACAACGAGGCTGGCCGGGTTGCCGGCGGACGAACCAATCCGAAATGAACAGGATCGGAGGCGGGGCCGCCGGTCGGAGCGTGACGCAGGGCGCACGAGCGCGGGCGGTGTGCCTCGGCCGCCATGTTGGTAAAGGGCAATGAGGCGCTGCGTGGGAGGACAATTCCCCAAACTGCGCGTGACGGGGATTCAACTCCATCCTTTCCCATCACTCGCCCCCGCCTTCCCTTCCTGGGCTAAAGGGGGCCTGCCCCTGGGCTGCCCCCTCACCTTTGCTTGGGGTAGGCACTTCCCATCCCCAAGTGAAGGGACAGCCCTTCCCCCTGAGTGAGGTGCTTCCCCAGGGGCTGCTCTGCTGGCTGCAGCTGGCTACAGTAACCTGTACCCAAATATTTCACTGTGCAGATTTAGTCAGTGGAACTCACTGCCACAAGATATCATTGAGGCCAAGAGCTTAGCAGGATTCCAGGAAGGACTGTATACTTACACTGAT